TGACCCCAGAGTCTCCAGTCTCCACTGTGGATTCTCCACAAGCTCAGACAGCTGCTTCAGATCCGATTCCTGCAGGTTGTTTCCTCTCAGGCGCAGCTCGCTCAGATAGGACGGGCTGGACTTTAGCGCTGAAGCCAGATACTCACAGCTGATCTCTGACAGACCACAATACTCCAGTCTAAGTAAAAAGCAAAAGATTTAAGGTTATTGTACAAACTTATTCTTGAAATCATATAGTTTTGTTTATTGTTTACTTTTATTAAACATGCCTGTGGCCACAGATTGACATGGTTTTATCCTTTTAGAGCCAACCTTTTTATCTCCAGCTTTAACAATTAAGACTCCATTATGAAGAACCACAGTGTGGGTCAGTATATCAGTCTAATGTCTGCAGGTCAGTGGAAAACAAAACTTGAAAACATGGTGACTGACCTCAGAGTTTCCAGTCTGCACTGTGGACTCTCCAGAAAACCACACAAACGCTCCACTCCTAAATCCTGCAGTTTGTAGTTGGAGCTCAGGTCCAGCTCTCTAAGAAAGGAGGGGTTGGACTTCAGAGCTGACACCAGAAATCTGCAGCTGTGTTCACACAAGCTGCAGTCCTCCAGTCTGAATAAAACAAAATACATTTGTAAGCTCAAAAGTTTCTGCTTGAAATTGTTCAGTTTTTCATCGTTCAGAGGGAGAACAGAAAAATGGTTATTAAATGAAAACAACTGCAAATGAATACCTGTCAGATAAAACTAATAAGTCATTAATTTCAAATCCTTAACCATTGTTTTTTGAAAGAATTTATTGTAGATGAAGTGTTTTTTTCCATTAATATTTCTTTTTCACAAGTTGTACTAACTTGATGTTAGTATAATTATTGTTGTTGCACAATGTGCCATTTCATAGCTTTATTGTAGCTTATACACATTTCAGGAGTCTAGAAACAACAGACATCTTGTCACGGTCCCCTTGTCTCTCTGGCTGGCTCATGCTGGCTACAGGTGTTGTTATTTTTCCTCCTCCTCTCTGCCTGGGCGGAGCTCGTTACGGGCTCTCGCTCTTGGCCCACACACCCGTGTGATTGTCACCACCTGCTGCTGATCTGGCTGATTTCCCCAGCTGCTATTTAAGGCAGTGGCACAGAGTAGCTCGCCGCTGGAATGTGGAATCTCCTGAGTTTGCGCTCTTGGCTTGATCAAAAGAGTGCTTTGTGTATATTTGCCTGTGGAACTAACTGTTGTATTCTGTGTGTAGATATCCCCCTTCTGGACCAGATTACGGACCCTGCATGAGTGGAGTTTTGGAGCGAGTGCGGCTGAAAAGGAGAGAGTGAGTGAGTGTGTGTGGAGGAGCTCTGGCGGTGACTGTGCTGGAGAGGAAGCGTGTGTGTGGATTGCCCCCTCTCCCTGGAGCCCTGGATCCAACTCAAAGTATAGCACTAAAGGGTGTGTTCCCTGTTGTAAATAAATTGTCTTATTTTATTTGCAAAGACCTCTGTCTGCGCGTGAGTCTGTCCAGTACTTATGACACACCTCTTGAACAAAAACATTTTTGGTTCATTTCTGGTATCTTTTGTTCATCCCACGTCTCAGTTTATTATTCTTTTGTGTTTGCATTAATAGACCACTGTAGACTATTATTCTGGCCTAGAGTGACTAAGGTTAAGGGGTGTCCAAATTCATAGGCTGCGTCCTCAGAAGGTCGGGTAGGCTGGAAGTAAACTGGTGGGCCACGAAGGACACACCCGACCCATCCTTTAAATTCAGGGAAAAGGAGGACGCATTTGTCAGCTGCATTTGGAGGAGCCAAGAATTTGGACAGCCTTCGTCGCGTCGCTGTGACGTAATCGGCCTACAAATGCGGCCTCAAGAGGATGCAGCCCATGAATTTGGACATCCCCTTGTCCTCAT